ACATCTGTGCCCCCGAGCGGCTGTGTTGCGCAAGCGCACTGAGTTTTATGCAGCCGCCGTTAAATGAGCGTCACACCGACGCTTGTCGCTTTAATGACGACGCAGAGCACTAACGAAAAAAAAAACTGCTGCAGATGCGAAGGCTGTTAAGAATCTGTTGTTGCTGCTCCACAAAAAAGCAGAGCGCTGCTCGCGAGAGACCTTGAATAGAGGAAGCGCGTTTGTTATAGTCTATGGATGTTCAATAGCAGTATGTACGAATACAATTCTGTTACACTACAAGCACGAGTATTATTAGCGCAATCTCGCTTTGATTGAGGAACGAGTTTGTAATGTTTGACTCGCAATTCGTGCCAGATTCGCTTTTGCCAGAGAGAGAGAGAGAGAGAGAGAGAGAGAGAGAGAAATAGTTAAAAGGAAGAGACAGGGAGGTTAACCTAGACGAACTGGTTTGCTACCCTGTACGGGGGTGGGGAAAAGGGTCGGAAAGAGGATAGCTATAAAGAGATATAAAATAAATTAAAAAACTAAATAAATTAAATAAATAAATTAAAAAATTAAAAAAGTTTTACGGAAAACGCACTTGCACATTCGGTTGTGTAGATTGCATTGGTGTTTGTTGGGATAGAGAAGCGCCACTGCGCGCGTAGCGAAAATCAGCGGCATCATAGTCACCGACCGCGGTTATGTATGCAATGTCCCCGTCTCTCACTCTCATCTTTGAACCACTTCCGTACTGACTGTTCCCCAAATGCAGGGTGGGATATAACTTCATGGCAAACTAAAGCTTTATGTCTAGTTAACCACTCAGCCTCAACCCTCTTCTTTGTGTCTCGCGCTGTTCCCATTTTTCTCTACAGAACGATACAATTTCGCTTCGCAAGCCTGTCACATGAGACAGTATGGTTAAGTCGTGAGCTTATTTGGATTATCCGCTCTTCGTCAAGTACATTTATAGAAAATATGCGCTTCTTGTTATTGAGTGCTAGATTTATTGATATGTGGGGTTTAACGTCCCAAAACCACCATATGATTATGAGAGACGCCGTAGTGGAGGGCTCCGGAAATTTCGACCACCTGGGGTTCTTTAACGTGCACCCAAATCTGAGCACACGGGCCTTGTGCTAGTGCTAGTGCTAGTGATGTTCACATGACCGATTAAAATAATGGGGGGGTGGGGGGGTCCTAGAGCTTTACACGATAGCAATATATCCTGTTCCTATAGTGCGTACTTCAAACACTTAGTGAATGAAATCTTTCCGAGCTTGCTATGCACCCACTACGTGACCTGAAGTGAATAGGCGCAGTAACGTGCGTGTCTTTTGTTGTGGGTGAGGGGCTTCAAACAGTGAAGTCATGATTATCACATGTTGTGACGCTCGATGGCAATGCACGCTTGTACCACGCGGTATTACTGCAATATTTCATGTTGTACATTGAAAAATGTATACAGGGCGCGTGGGTTTGTAAAGCACGAGTGACTTTCACTGCATTTCCAAGCAAAGAAAGTTACTTTCACTGTATTCGAACGGCAAGCAGATGTTTGGCTGTGTGGTAGCTAGAACACCCATTTGCCACGCAAACAGCTCGGGGTTCGATCCCCAGTCACCCAAAACTTTTATCCTGTCTTTTATTTGGATTTTTCTCGATTTCTCGGTCATACACAAGATGATGACTAACTCGCAAGCAACGACCCCCTAATTTCTTCGAAACGAGCTCTTTCGCGTTAATATGCGATAATCCTTCCACGACTAAACGCAGGTAATAATGGACAGTATGGCTATATAGTATACGCTGTGGAGCATCGCTGCTCAACTCCTAATAAACCTATAGATAGCTTTGATTAGGAGTTCAGCAGCGATATCCCTCTGCAACCTTCAACGGAGAAAAAATTTCGGCAGATCCCACGTGCTCTGGGAATCGACGCTATGCGAACCATCCGTAGGGATGGGGACCATGCTGTATTCTTTTATTGTAGCGACACGTTATGAAATTACGCTAAATATATATACAATAATGCACCCACAGGCATATTTATTATTTATTTATTTAAACATACTGCAAACCCACAGGGCTTAGACAGGAGGAGTGAAATTACAAAACTAAATACAAATTTTCAAAAGGTAAAAAACCAAAACAAACACTTACAACTCAACTCAAGCTTTACATATCAGCAATGATGATGGTTCTGCGTTCCATTCGTTAATAGTGCGAGGGAAAAAAGAAAGTTTGAAGGTGTTAGTTCTTGTTTGATATGCAGTTAAGGTTTCAGAGTGATGATGTCCGATTCGTCTCGTTGAATGGCGTAGATTTTTCAGGAGAAAAAGAAACGTAAGGCTGAGTATTTTTTCTCGTAATTTCAAAGTCTGTATTCCATTATTGCGCACAATTGCTGCTTGTGGGTCGGTTCTATGGTGTTTAGAAAAAATAAATTTTACAGCTTTGCGGTGAATTATCTCAAGTGCTGCTATATTGTGGATAGTGAGCGGATCCCAGACGGTGCAGACGTATTCCAATTTTGACCTAATTAACGCTGTATATGCGTGAAGTTTGGTTTCTGGGGGTGCCTGTTTAAGAGTTACATATAGTTTTTACATTATTAACCTGTTCCTTGCACTTGAGCAACTATGCCAACGGGAACATGAGTATTATATAGCAACACCAGCCGATATGAAGCGCTGCTGCTCGCGAAGACAGTAGCCCTGGGCTGCTAGATAAACCAACGTACGCGCATGGCACCGTTAACCTGATGTGACGGCTAAATCATAAGAATACATGTGTAATGTTCATAAAACTGGATAGCCAGCACTGCAACCACAAATGGTATTTAATAAACATTTGAGTCTATTTGGAAAGTAGTTCCGAGACATGGCATAGATCATGTGGTAGAATGCTTGACTGCCACGCAGAGTACTTGGGTTCGATTTCTGCCGGGGCCCTGAGATTTATTATTTGCATTCATCGAGTCCAACGCTGCCCACGTCAGGTTTTTCTTAACGCTCACGTGTTAGAATTGTCTATGTGTTCTCTCGTCATTACTGCGCAGATACCTAAGTTAGGTTCACCTTTTAACTGAATAAGGGCGCGCACACAGACATGTACGGACACTAGAACAGGAAATACCTAGAGCGAAATTTCCTGTTCTAGTGTCCGTGTCTGTGTGTGCGCCCTTTTTAAGTTGAAATGTGAACCAATACCAACTAGTCCAATTATCCGTGCTATACTAAGTTAGGTGTATATATCACCTGTGGCACATACCCGCATAGCAGTTGCACGAACCCGCTCGCGGGTATAGACAGATAGATGCCAAAAGTGATTGCAGTACGCAAAGAAATGATTCGCATTTAATATCAAGCCGTAACCCTTAGATGCCTCATCAAACACTTAAAATGACCATCTACATCAGCGGCAGTGTCCTGCGGCGTCAACACGAGTCAAGAAAAAAAAACTATCACGTGATGTCGTCCCCATATGACATCATCACGACGTCACAGATCACCAATGTATGTGACGTCATCGCATGACATCATCACTCGGTCAACGGTGGGTGGGCCTATTAGGACGGCAGTGCGAAACCACCCTACAGGTGCATGAAGCTTTCGGGTGAGAATGGGAGGAGGTGATCGCTATGTTTTTTTATACGATTAAAAATAGATGGCTTTCGTTGTCGACTCTTATCTTAGGCTAATGGGCCCTAAGAGTCTTCATCCAAAAATAAAACTAAGTGTTTCGAGTAGAAGTTGCATTAAATGTCTGCGGAGCAAAAGCCCCTGATATTTCCATCTAATTGTTTGTTAGAAGCATCTTGTCAACGAAGGCTCCCCTGCAGGGGCACTGCCGTAATCCTCTCTATAGGCTGCTATTATACGTGACCCCCTCCCTCCCCTTCTCCCCCCCCCCAAAAAAAAAAAGGCACTGCCGAGGCTGTGACGTCGGATTTTGTGCTCCCGTTTAACAGTACACGCAAGAAGCTATCTTCTTTTTTTTTTCGTTGAGAAGATCTATATGGTAGTGTGTTAAAGACGAGGCGGACTGCCACGTGAAACAATCGAGTGACGTTCGTAAGCGCTTCATTGAGAGATAAAAACGAAGATGAAAGGCAACGAGGGTAACCCTGCTTTGGCTAGTTTGGCTGTCCTAGACCTCATTGAAGTACCTCTTCTCGTTAACTATATAGATTTATCAGAATGTGGTATTTCTTCAAACAGCAACATGACGGCTCTGCGCGTAGATAAGCTAGAATATTATCACCCCTGCCGAAATTCAACTTTAAAAAATCGTCGCAACGTTCATACACGGAAAGTCAGCAGGAAGGTAAATGCCTGGAATCGGCACGCCCGCATATACCAACAAAAAGTACACAAAACAAAGCCACTTGAGGCCGCACAGCAGACAGGGAATCGTACGCGAAACGCACCGCTTACCGAAGTATACAAGCACGAGGAATATTACGAGCGTGCCACCTGCGCAACCTCGCGCAATCGTCCTTTCGGCCTACATACCTGATGGCATCGCGGCGGCTGACACAGTCAAGCTGCGAGCCACATTCGGTAGCGGGCACACATACGCACATTTATGTGCCCCCCATAGCGCTCACGTCCTTCCGAAAGGCCAGAACAGCGAGAAAGCAAAACAGTGAGAAAAAGCGTCGAACGGAAGCGTATACGTAAATAGAGTCGAGCTGGAAAGCATCGAAAAGCGGCGATTTGGAAACCTAAAAGGCAGAGGAAACAAAAGGGAGCCCAGTGCAGGTGCGCGGTTAATAGGTTCCTTCCCTCGCATCCTCCGCGGCAACTCCTGATAACTGCCGCCCGTAGGCGCGCGCCGGAGCCCGTGCGCAGATGCGGTCTGCTGCCGCGGCTCCCAGCTATTGAGGTTCTCTCTGCGCGAGCCGCCGCGGTCGCGTGTGCGTGCGTGTAGTGGAGGCATCGGTAGCGGCAACAGCAGCCGCGTGCCGTCTATAGCACGGCCGCGGATCCGTGGAGAGAAGAGACGGCGTCATGGTATCGCTACCGTGGAAGCTTGCACGCCGTCGCCGACACCTGCAGCAGGGTGGAGCCCTGGTTGCAAGGCGCCACGCTTCGGACAGCCAAGACGGCCACGATGCCGGCAAGTGTCACCTGTAGAGTTCTAACTATTCAACAAGTTGACGTCGACAAACTCTTCTGTGTACTCTTAATAACGCATATAGATCAGAGCACTCTACATATAGATTCGCTGTTCATGATCGCGGATAAGCAACTGGAATAAACAAGCAACGCGCGAAGAGTATGATATCGATGTTAAAATGGTGACAGCAGGGGCGTAGCTAGGATTTTCAATTAATTTGTGTGTGTGCGGGGGGGGTGTTCAACCCTCTCACTTTACGTATACTTGCGCGATATATACACACAAATGGCAGAAACAACAAGATGGGGTGGAAGTTGGTAGTTCAGATGTTGTCTGTGCTCTTCACTTAACTTAGAAGTGTGGCAGCTTGGGCTAGTTGGTATGGCGTGACGATAGTTATAGCGCGAGAACAAAACGACGACACAGAGACAAGAGACTCACGTCTTCGTGCTTGGTCCACTATATGAGCCCTCTTAACGCGACAGCGTTATAGAGCTCGTGTCGCAGAAAACCCGCCGCCGGCGTCGGCCCCGTTGGTTGTGATCGAGAAATCGTGTGTGCGTCTGTGACCGCAAAAATCAACTTACCGTGATAGCCGCGGGAGGGCGCTATTTGTCTACACGTGCGCGTGCGATCACACTGACAAAGCCGCGCGTTCGAAGGAAAAAAATGTGCTCAAGGTCACGAGGCGCGGTAGTTTCTTTGCCCTGCCACCTCTCCCCGCTTTGCTTCCAGCGCTTTCGTCGGTATGAGAGAAGAGATGATCAAATTGCAGCATGCGACAAACCTTTGTAACTCCACCCGCACTGGACGGATTCTTGACATATTTGCGGCGTTGAATTCGGGAGGCAAAGAGCTCTTCTAGTGAATTCCTTCCATGGTTACTTGAAAAAGTGTTCCAGGGCCCCTTTAGTGCATTTTGTTCGACAGGTGTCACGACGAAAACGAACCCATTCGGCGATAATAGCGCGCGCTGGTTTAATCTATTGTGTGCGTTCGTGTGTATGTAACAAAACACATTAATAATCATGCACTTAGTGGCTGCAGGGTGCACTAGAGGCAGGATTTCGCTATCACGTTCAGCTCCTAAAGGCGAAGCTCAAGGGTTCCCCAATTTGTGCTATATTTATTCACAATACGTTGCACTGGTTATAAGTAGGTTCAAATGGCACCAGTTTATTCCGAGGCACTGCTGAAATTATGGATAAAAGGTGACTCACAACTTCACCTATAGCTAGTAAACAAGTATCGTCTTACGTTCATTTTTTTTTCATTCACTGATGTTGCTTTTCTGTATGTAATAGCAATCGAATCGCCGGTTCTAAGAACACGACGATTTCCAATTTCGGCGACTATAGAATTTGGAGAAAGCTAATACTACTGCGTACGAATAGAGTAAGAATATCTGTACAGTTAGGCACGATTCTTTTTTGTACTTGTGAGCTTCATTATTTTGTATCATTCCATGATAAAGATTAACCGGCGCTGTCGAGTAAAGAACCCCAGGTGGTCGAAATTTCCAGATCCCTCCACTACAGCGTCTCTCATGACCATATGGTAGTTTTGGGGCGTTAAACCCCACTAATCAATCTACCAGCGCTGTCAAATGGCGCCATACATACGCTGAACATTTACACATATCCAAAACCCAGAACTATTGCTTATGGAGCGCCGCGCGTGCATGAAGCATTTCGCCTAACATTCATGGAAATGGACCGCATATAGAAGTTTTCGTGCGGTCTTTACATTACCAGCACTGAATGTAACTGGCCGAGTGCAAAATGTGCGCACGAATTTGTGCTCAGAGACTGTTGCATAGGCTTCGTAAACGTATACTGATACACGTCTTGAGTTATAGCGCGACGTGTGGAAAGAAATGCGAAAAGCGCTGCGCGCTACACGCTTTGACTTCGATGGCGTTAAAAGGCGCTAGAGTGGTTCCTGATTGTAGCATGGATGAATATAGTCGCTTTCATCACTATCCAGGCTACAATAACTTGAAAATAAATGTGACATAGCAGAGAATGTAGATGCAACCTCGTTCACGTCTCTTTCCAGCCCCACGGGCGCGTATCTGCCGATGAACTCTTACTATTCGCATGGACGAAGAAGAGAAGAAATGGTAAAGAAAGAAGAGTAGGGAGCTTAAACCACCCAGAATAGCCGCTTTTCTACCCTGCACGTGGGAACTGGACGGGGGAGTTTGAAAGAGGGAGAGGAAATAAAAAAAACACGTCGCACACCACACACACACACACACACAAGCGCGCAGTCAATCACAGTGTCCATCACTCTGGCGTGGTACGCGACATCACTGTCACAGCCGCTTGTCCAAGGAAAACAAGCGGAAACTGAAGGGCCCGTTTTTCTTCGTTAGACGCAATATTAATGAGAACTAGCAGACAATGATGCCAAGAAAAGTGTAGGGGGTGTCACTATAGTAATAATTATAATGTAAGTGGGAAGAAAGAAAATTTATTCGAATGTAGCAGGCTCGGTCTCTGACATCGGCAAGTAATCTTTTCGTCCACTTTTTCTTCCTCGCATTGTCTTCACATTGGCTGCAAGTTCCCATTAAAATTCGTATGGAACACATACGGCTCTAAGCCATACTTGAACCCATTGAGTAACGCTTTGTATATCATGGTCATGACGGCTTGGTTTTGCGTGGGTGGTATGCGTGTTACGCTCATTATACTGGAATTTATCTGACGAGATTATTTTGCCAATTTCGTCACACGCATGCGCATCTGTCAGTAGGAGTTGAATATATTGGAATTATTGAAGTTATTAAAATTACTGAAATTATTAAAATTATTGAAACCATTGAAATTATTGGAATGGCGTAGGTAACGTTTAAGTAGGCTTATGGCCCTTTGAGGAACGTATTCACTGTGCATGTGAAGATAAATGTGGACAAACGCTATCAATGAGGAGTAACCTTCACATTATTAAATGATTTTCCACGTCAAACCTACCCCATGGAATCATTCAGTATGGTTGAGTTTCAGTTCCGAGTAATTAAAGCGTTCGAACTATATTACACATCGTCAAACACTTTAAATTTAATCCTTGTGTGCCATGGGCCACTTTTTTTCTAATAAAATGTAGTATACGGTTCGGGACTCCCGCACACATAGTTTCCAAACGATCGCATCACATCTTACACAGTGAAAGAATCGTTCGTCTATCACTGAAATAGCGCGTAATTTTTCCCCCAAAAAATTTATTGTATATATTTTTGTTGCTCGAGCGCGTCCATTTTCTCTTGTTCTCGTAACGTGTGCGATTCGTCAACTCACACTGCGCCTTCCGCAGCGCTATACAGATTACGAACACGAAAAACCGAAAAACCTGCCACCGTGCAAGCACAGCGGGCGTACTGCGCGCCGCCGCCTCTGCAGTCGTCCCGCCGGCGCGCTGACTTATTGGCGACAGCGAAATTGCATAAGCGGCCTTTATACCCCTCACCGTTTCAACGCCCCCCCCCCCCCTCAAACCCTCACCTCGCGCCGTTCCCGTTCACTGCCAAACAAATAAGTAAACAAAAGAAAACCGGCGGGCCGGAGAGGTCGCGAGAGGCCACATATACGCCGTCTAATATAAGGTGAGCAAAAAGAACGCATCTGTATCTGCACCGCTCATCAATTGTGGCCACAGCGCGCACGCGCGATAGCTCGGATGGTTAAAAAAAAAAAGAAGAAAGAAGCATGCAAAATGGAGACGAATAGAGCATAACTATACGCTGTCGGGATCTCGCCCCTTCCCGCAGTGCGGGGACAAAAACGGCGGCGCACGCGGATGCATTCACCGGAATCCCGGCGCACCCCCGAAACTAATTTCCACGAAAAACCTCCAAATAGGTCCCCAACAGGCTGCTCGCGAATCGAAACCCGAAATTCGCCCCTCTACTTTTACGCTACGGGAGTTCGTCGTCGTTGTCACCAGGGGGTCGCCTTGGCGCTCCTCTTGCTGTTCTTTCTTCTTCGGGATCATATCTCTCACGCTCGGTCGGGTCAACGTAGGCGGCGAGAAGCTATATACCAGAAACACCAAGCGCCACAGTGCTGTCGGGTCTTGCAGCCGGCCGGCCAGGCGAAATCGCGTTCCTCCCCGCTCCGGCCGACAGGGCGCAAGGCACGGGACTCCTCGGGATCGAGGTCAGAGGTGAAGCCGCCGCGCGTCGCGTTCCTGTTATAGATTTATGGGGGCTCGGAGATGCGTGGCTACCGCTGCCATGTCTCTGCGGTACCCTGCGCAAAGCAAGGAGGCGAAGCCTCAAAAGCAGCCGTAGAATTATGTTGCTTTTTTTTCTCTTGTTTAATTCTACGTGAATTCGTATCAAGTCGTCCCCCTCGCGGGCACCCTCTGCAGTATACTATCCCCTCCGCTCTTTTCCATTCAGTTCGATGTCGACAAGCTGTTCAGGAGATTTTTTTTCTTTTTCGGACAAGCGAGCACCCCCTCCCGTGAACGATGTTCGAGGTCGGGCATGTAGCACGTCTATCTTTCAACATTCTTCCACGGCAGCCGCCTAGGCAAGCTATAAGCCAAGCCAAGTGCGCTGTCGGTTTGTCCATTCGCCCCACCCCGCTGCGCTCGTCCGCGCAGCCAGCTTTCACCTCCCCACAGCAGCCATCCCTCGCCACACCGCGACTCGCACTTTCTTCTGTATCGAATAGCTACTATACTATGACCCCGCACGCATCGAAAGACGACGCGCCGCATGTCTTGGCGGTGTCGATCGAAAAGCTCGGAAGTTTTCGTCACTCACACACTCTCTCCCGTTGCCGGAGACGAAAAATTTTGTAGAAAGGACAGGGGCAAAGACGGTGCACGCGAGTGCATGTGTGTGTATTAGAGGGAAGGGGGGGGGCGGATAGTAGGCGCAGACGACCGGGTTTGGACAGCCACACAAAACTGCATTCGTATGTGTGTGGTAGTAGCTCCTGTTGCGCACATGTTCGTTTTCTGAAATCCAGCCGAGAGGACGACAGCTC